TTTTAAAGGTAAAGAAGCATGGCTAAGAAGAGTTAAGCCAAGTTACACTATATGTATATGTTTTCTTTCAATTATCTCATTTAATTTGGTGATGAGTGTGGGGCCAAATAAATTTTTGATTAATCCATAAATTATTGTAAGGTTTAAGAAGAGGAAAACATGCATAGCCAAATGTTTTTAAAAATTTATAATCCGACATTTGTTTGAACAAGACATTAAAAGGGACAACAAACTTAAGAGATGCAGTTGGTAATCTATTTATGATATAAATAGTAGTGGTAATGGCTAAATAATAAATTTTAAAGGTAAAGAAGCATGACTAAGAAGAGTTAAGCCAAGTTACACTATATGTCTATGCTTTCTTTCAATTACCCCATTTTTTGATGAGTGTGGGGACAAATAAATTTTTTATTAACCCATAAATCTTTAAGATATTTGGTAAAGGGCCTAAATTCACCTCCTCAATTAGTTTGTAGATTTTTAAAAGGAGTATTAAATTAAAATTCCACCATGGGTTTAAACTATTTAAATGTAGTAAAGGTATCAAACTTATTTTGTAGCAAATATAATCATGTAATACGTGAATAAGCATTAACAAAGCTTAGGTAATATTTATAGTTATTTGAATGTTGTATAGATGTTGGTCCCCTCAAGTCACTCTACTTCTAATGGAATGTTATAAACAGATTTAGATAAAAAGGGCAATCAATGTATTTTTTCGATACAACAAGTAGAACAAAAGAACTGGTCATTTTTATTCAAAATGGGAACATTGCATTGTTGTAAAACAATTTTTCGAACATGAGAATTTGGATGCCCTAGCCTAGCATGCCATAAGGCATGAGAACTAGTCGTATAACTATTCAAAACATCAACATCAATATTTACAACATTAGGAACATTAGAAACTAAACATGTTGCAGAAATGCTTGAAGTAGCTTGAAGTTGAAGGCTAGGGAAGCAATAGAGATTATCAATATCCATTTTGCCATGTACAAAATTCACTTCTCCAAGATTCTCCAAGAACGTAGGAGCCTTCCTTCTCATCCATGCTTAGGCATGGGGGACAAGTTCTCTTGTCCGTGGACCTGCCTTGGCACACCACCAAGTCAGAGTTGTCAACCAAAGCCTTCATTTCCAAAGATTGTCACAACTTCGGTAACTCCAAGCCTCACCACTCTTCCTAAGCCGTGCTGGAAAGGCGAGTCACTTGCTATCAAGATCCCTGAAGATGCATAAAGAAGGGCTTGCAAGGTGCTCCAACCATCTTCATGGGAGAGTCCTCTTGGCTAAAGGCCAAAAACCAATCAAAACCGTGAAGTTGGCAGCCAAACTATCCAAGCTATGGAGTCACATTGCTGGTTGGACTGTCATCTCTCTTGGGCGGGGATTCTTTGAACTAGAATTCCAAAATTCTCATGATCTTGGAGTGGTCCTTGCGGTTGGTCCATGGAGCTTGGACCAGGGCCTTCTTAGGCTGTCACTTTGGAAGCCGGATTTCAATCCAAGAAACCACGAGAACAAGTTTGTTCAGGTATGGCTGCGCATATTGGAGCTTCCTCAAGAATATTGGAGTCCAAGAATCCTTCTTTCTATTGCTTCAACCGTGGGGACTCCAATCTCTTTAGATAAGGCCACTTTAAATTGGACATTTTGCTAGAGTCTTGATTGAAATAGACCTCTTGAACCAAATTCCCACACAACTACTGGTTGAAAGGGAAGGTTATGCATTCTATGTTTCCTTTGAATTTGATAGGCTCCCTTTGTTTTGTTCTAAGTGTAATTGTATAGGACATGAGGAAGCTGCATGCAGCCATGTAGGGATTGGAGTGCCACGCAAGTCTGCTGCTGCAGCAAATGCTGGTGCACATGATGCTAACCATGCTGGTATGTACGTAGATGATGCCACTACTTCAGTTGCAGACTTGAGTCAGCCATGTGAAGCTGGTGCTGGAAAGTTGGAGTAGCCCTATGTTGTTGGTAATGGAACAAATGTGCAATTGGAGCTGGAAAAGGCAGCTGCAAAAGTGACGAATAACTCTAATGCTAGCCTGCAAGTCGGTGCACCAGCTGGACAAATTCAAAAGAAAAAGAACTTGGCTAACGCACATGCTTCAGCAACTGATCGGCTGCACATTGATACAGCTGGTGCTGGAAAGTTGGTGCAACCTTGTGTTGTTGGTAAGGGAACAAATATGCAGCTGGAGCTGGCTAAGGCAGATGCAAAAGGACCAATTCAAAAGAAAAAGCACTTGGCTGATGCACATGCTTCAGCAGCTGATTGGGTGCATATTGGTGCAGTTGCTATTCACTCTCTTGCGGCCAATCTGATTAATGTTGCAGCTGCTTATCAGGCTACAACTCTGGACAACCAACATGATGACAATTCACAAGAAGGCACGCCACCCAAGGTTGGTGCAGTAGTTCATTTGGTGGACTGTCATGTGGATGACTCAGCTGAGACAGATGTAGGAAGTCAAGCTGGTGCATCAACTAACTCGGGTCACAAAAAAGAAAGATTATCTGCACCAAGGAATG